TCTAAAGATAAAGACTACTTAATGGAACATGATGTGAAGATCACTAACTATGCGGAAATTGCTGATACTTTTGTAAATTTGTTTAGTAATGTGGGTATAGATTTAGCTGCTAAAATGAAAAAAACAGATAACAGTACGGTTTATAATATAGAAAATAATGCGAAGTCAATTTCATTTAAGCCAACTGATGAACAAGAAATTGAAAAAGTAATCAGAAACCTAAAAGACAAAGCTGGGGGAGTTGATGGGATTAACACTAAAGTCTTAAATATAATAAGTAAATTTATTAGTAAACCATTGGAATTTATAAATCAGGAGACAAATATAAAACTAATAACTATCGTCCAATATCCTTAATTTCTAATATAGCAAAAGTTTTTGAAAAAATTATTCATAAACGAATTTATAACTTCATAACAGACTCAAAAATTATTGTGAAAAACCAATATGGCTTCTTAAAAAATAAAGGCACTAAGGATGCAATTGTAGCAATTACCAGTTTTATATATACTAATATTGATAAAAATAATCCAACAGTGATAGCTTTCCTGGATTTAGCAAAAGCTTTTGATACAGTAGATCATGCTTTATTGCTGGATAAATTATATAGATATGGAATCAGAGGAATCGCTGTTGATTTAATTCGTGACTACCTTAAAAACAGATATCAAGTTGTTAAAGTTAACGGGGTAAAAAGCAAATCATGTAAAGTTCAAATAGGGGTGCCGCAAGGTACAATCTTGGGACCACTGCTTTTTCTTCTATATGTAAATGATATCTTTAAGGAACTACCTGAAAACTGTTTGGCAGCTTATGCAGATGATACAATAGTTAAATCTTGGGCGGAAGCTGAATCACAAATGAATGTGCAGTTAAGTTTAATAGGGAATTGGATGTGTAATAATTACTTAACTCTAAATGTTGGAAAAACTAACTATATAACTTTCGGTTCATATAAAGACAGTTTTCCAGAAATTTTTGAGTTAAAAATTTATGATAAGACCATTAATTGAACTGATAATAGTAAATACTTAGGTATATATTTTGATAGTCACATGAGATGGGATATTCATATCAAAGAAGTCATAAAAAAAACTACAAGTAGATATTTTCTATTTATATTCTCAAAGTTTAAAAATATAATGAACAAGAAAGTACTAAAAACAATTTGTTACGCATTATTCGATAGTATAGTCAACTATGGATTTATTGCCTGGGGAGGTAGTTATAAGAATGTTACAAAATTGTTAATAAAAATACAAGATAAATTAATTAATTATTTATGTGATAAAACGAGAGAACACCCGTACTGGGTATTAAAAAGAAATTTATTTCTGAGTCACTATGTTATCATTATTCCGATTGTAGAGAGGTGAATGAATATAAAGGTAAGACTAGAGCTAAAGCGTTACAGTTACCAAAGATTAATAAATATATGTCTTACAAAGACTCGAAATATATAACAATTAAATACTTCAATGTGTTACCGCTGAGTCTAAAGTTGTTAAATATTGAAAATACAGCAAGCAGAAAGAAAATAACTGAGTGGATTGTAGACACTGATATTTAAAAATACTACTGGTATGTTTTCTTTTGTTTTTCAACTATAAATCACATTTGTTATTAATAGACTAGTATTGTGGTGTTTTGTAACACCTTTATAGGTGCATACTTTGTATGTAATATGTACTTTGTATCCTGGGATAAATAAATAAATAAAATAAATTATGTCTATTATTGCGAGGAGGACTATTGGCCTCGAGGAGTTGTTCTTTCGATTGGCTTCGTCCACGCTGCGCACGACATCGTCAACGGCTCCGATTGGGGGTGCCAGGGGTTTGTTCTGCGATTTTGTCTCGTTCTGTCTGCTGTGTCTTTTCCTACATACAGCCAGACGGTATTTCCGGGTCCTCGCCCCCTTTTCTATGACTCCTGTTCTACTGGGCTAGGTGCAGTCCGTTTAGGAAGAGCTGTCACTGGCGTTGAAACATTTGCATTTTGGTTGCATGCTTCTAGGGATTTAGTTGCGTTTGTGCGCCTTGTATCTCTTTCTGCCTTTATCCAGTCCTGTCGCAGGCGAGCTATAATGTCAAAGAGCTCGTCTAGCTCGGATACCCCATTTTTCACATCGGTGCTTATGTTTTTCTGTTTTAACATTGCCATCTTCATCTTTTTGAGGGTGGCGCGACACTTTAAGCGCCTCATCCTCTTCTGCTCTCATCTTCACGATAAACTCCTGCCTTGGAGAGCTGTGTTCGTTTCGCGAGCATTGGTCCCGGGGTCTTGTTGTCTGTTTCCCTGTTTGCATTTACTGGTTTAGGCACAGCGGAAGCGGTTTCTTCCATGCGCATAGTTTGGATTACTCTCTCGTTTCCTATCTGAGGCGGCGAACGCATGATTTTGCTTTGCCTTCTGAAAGCATTCAATTCGTCGTCCGCTTGTGCGTTTTGGTGTTTCTCTAGTTTGTTTTCTTTTGTTTCATTTTTCGTATTCATGTTTCAAGGGTCTCCGCTTCAAACCGCTATCTCCGCTCGATCGTACAGTTGCATTTTCGGTCCCTGTGGTTGTCTATGCATTGCAGGGGGGCCACACGAGGGTTGACACGAGACCTTATGGGAATTCGTGCACAGAGCCAGGACCATAGCACTAGTCAGGATTTAAATCAACTGAGCCTGTACCGCCAACCTAATGGCGACGTAGCATCGAACGTACTTGAAGGCCTGCCATGGTTTCAACGGGACGGAGACGACTGTGACATTACTCTGAAAGCCATTTCTGCAAGATGTCACTCTTGCATACTGAGGTAACAGAATGCCACAGCCGTCAGCCCAAGTTCAACGTTTCCAAATCATTTGTCAAAATCGTGGTCCTACCTCGTTGCTTTGTTTGTCATCTGTGCTGTGCTCTTGGTCGGGAACTGCTTATTTTATATTTGCAGCTAACCTACGTTTTGCAGGTACTGAGATCTGTATCCGTCATCTATGACCCATTTTTTTTACTATTATTATTATTATAATTTTTTTTTTCTTTTCGTTTTGTTCTCTCCGCTTCCGTTTGAAGCGTCGCTCTGTTTCCTCCCTCTCGTGGGTAGGTGTTCCCACGCGGCAGCCCCTTTAGGGTTGTGGATGCTTATTTTGAAGCAGCATCTATTCACCTCGTCACCGGAGACTCTTAGGATGTTTCAGGTCTTTTAAGCCGAACCCTCCTCTCCTGTCGCTCTTGGTCTGGGGCTGCTTGTTGAGTATTCGCAGCTAACCTAAGAACTTAGGCCGTCCACAGCTCGCCAAGCTGCAGCCCTTGGTGGCCTGAGCTCAGCCAAGGTACCTAATAGATAAGTATATACATATATTTATAATAGGGTGGAGCGAAAAAAAAAATTTTTTTTTTTGCTTAGCCTGGGGGTTAAATCTGTAGATTATAAAAGAAGAAAATGTTTGGACAAAAAAAAAAAAACACTTTTTTTAACATCAAGTACTCAGTTTTAAAGAAAAAATTTCGAGTTAAAATTTTTGATAAGAGTTCTAAAAGCTGTAGAGAGTTCTCTTTCCTTAATTTTTTTTTATATAAGAGACATATTGACAATAGATCGGATATTAACAAAAATTACTTAATAAAGCTTGGATGGCTGACATATGATTATCTGTAGCATAATTTAATTTGCAAAATATTTATTACGCAAAATGTAGTGGGTGGCTTGCAAAAATCCGTTCTTTATTTTGCTTAAAACTAGAGTGGCCTTTTATATTTCGGGATTGAAACACAAAAATAAAAATTAATCATCGAAAATTGGTTTATTGTTTTTCAAAATATTCTCTATTAGAAACTATAAACTGTTGCATGTGTTTAAATTAATAGTCGAAGCACTTTTGCCACTCTGATTGGTGCAAAAGTTTTTTGCGTTCTAAACTCATCAACCGCCTCTTCAGGTGTCGAAAAACGTTGACATCTTAGAAGAATAAGTACGAGAATGAAAAAAAATCATTGGGTGCCAAGTCAGGACTATAGGGTGGATGACTCATCAAATCGATGTTTGAGTGCTAAAAAATGCAGTCGTTTCATTGTGGTGAAGAGTGATCCATCTTCGGCGGTTGGTTTACTGTTCTGCGTTTTTCTAGTGGTATGGTTGCGACATGTCCAGATTTTCCAAAAAAACGGAACCATTTGCTTGCGCGTACAACTTTTGTTGGATTTGGCTCATCTGGAAACACCCATACAGTCGACTGCTGTTTAGTTTTGGGCTCATACGCGTAAATCCATAATTAATAATCTGTCACGATGTCATAAACGTGTTTCGAAGCACCGCGTAAAATTTTCATGCAATATTGAACTAATGCCTATAGTAGCCTCAATCTCACGAAAGGCACATGACGATCTTGCAATATCAGCTTGCGCACAGCATCAATAGTCGACATTTCGTCTTGGAGTGATTCACGAATTCGATTTAATTCACCACACCATCGATAAACACTGGTCCTTGATGAAGCTTCCAAAAATTTAATTAAGTTCATCGACGCACTGTTGCTGAGTTAGTCCACGTCGAAAGTTGTAAAAAATAATGTCGCGAAAATATTCGCGATTTAATTCCATTGCTTGGCTGAGATTAATATTTTAAGTTACTGTAAACAACACAAATAGCGCTCATATGTCAAAACGTTCTGAGTATGGCATCAAAAATGTCAAACTTAACGATAAAGTTGTGAGTTGCCAGATTGCAACACTTGGGTTGCCAAATTACGAAATATAATAGGCAACCTTACGTATCGAATACTGAGTTAACAAACAAAATGTCGAAAGTATTTAATTTTCTGAAGTGCTAACCCTTTATTTCTGGGTCTATTCGCATTTCATTTAAATTTTACAGTTTTATTAAGATGTACTAGGTGTAGACATAAGCTTTCTTATGTCCATTTATTTCTTCTTCAATTCCAATAGTTGGTTCTTTTAAACATGTTAAATGTTATATATATGCATATATTTTATATATATTTGTTTGTTTTCAGCCTTGAGAAGGAGACGGGAGTCGCACAAATATCTTACTGATCCTTGCCAATTAAACCTTCGCTTTGCAAGGCCACATTCCCGTCACACTAGTCGGTAAAGAGTTTTTTTTTATCATTTACGAAGCTAATTTTAATGATGCTGCTTGTTACTTTTACAGAAAATGTGGTGTGCCAACAATTTTACTGGGGAACTTTGAAGATAATTCATCAGATAACAGTGAAGAGCTTCAAGTTTTTAAGCAATCGGCAATAAGTAACGAAAGTAATGTTGAAGTTAATATTCACAATTTAAATTCCATTAAACATCAACAATCTCTGAGTCAAATTCAAAATCAAGAAATACGTCAGAATGAAGAAGAGTTGTTGTACAATATGGTAACAGAACTTAAGTTATCTGATAAAAAACGTAATGATATTATACCGCCACCTGGTGCTCCAAAACTAGAAAATAGTGCCCGCTTGCGTCGATATAGACATAATGTAGATTAGTCTCGAAAAATGTACCTAGCTATTTATAATAAGTAATTAAACATATAGAAAATACTCCTTTAGCCGTGGTTTTTACGCGCTAGGCATTTGCGCTTAAGCTTAACTACGGGCATCGACAGTTGTCTATAATCTATGCAAAAACCGAATGCCATGGTTCGAAAATCAAATTAATAAAATACTTGGCACTTGTTTTCAAAGAAATTGTTTTGAATATTATTCAGAAACTTAAAACGGATAGGGTAAGGAAATATTTTGACTAATAGAAAAGAATTGTAAGTTGTTCTAATAAAGGCAAATGTATGAATAATTTTTAAATGTTTTTATTTTTTGGTTTTATGCTACCAATCGACAATAAATGTCGAAGATTTAAATCAAGTTTCTTTTGTGTATTTTTATTAGCCTGCTCTCACATATTCATATATTTATTAGGTACATATAAGATGGTGAAATGCTTTGAGTTTAGCGTAATTTTTTAGTAATTAAAGAGGCTGTGTGCCAATCTGCATGTTTTTTCTATCTTACATCATATTGTTCACAATTTTGTCAATTGAAATTTAATAAAAGTAAGGAAGGCTAAGTTCGGATGTAACTGAACAATTTATACTCTCGCATGGTAAAATGATCTATGTGATCTCGTTCATATTTTAATTAAAAGTAGGAAGTGTTGTTTCTCTTATTTACAATTATATTAAGATTAATTGTAGAAATTTGAATACTAAGTTTACTGTTACAGAAACCTTTAAAATAATTAGTTTTTCACCGTGATAATTCCGAATTGATATTATTTATTAAATGTTCTTCATTAAATAAATTTTCTAATTTTAATTTCTTAACTACGTATGTATATATACATGTGCGTCTGTGTATTGGTTTAAATGTGTAAATATGTTTACCATTTGTATTATAGCGCGGAAAAAACTAACGATTTGATACATTACTAGTAATTAGTCATTTTGGTAATGATTTGTAATGCAACGACGTATTACTTTTCCAGAAACAACACTCAAAACGAAAATTAAATCGCATTAACAACAACAGACAACGCGTTATCAACTTCATCCTATCGCCAAATGAACTTTACATGCTTAGAATTAAAAGAGTGGTACATAAGCATAGAGTTTCACGCCCATGTGCGATTGACCTAATAAAAATTCTTCGAGCAAGAAATGTCATTGTCAATGTAAGTTCTTTTTATATATCCGATTATCCGTCCAAGCCAAATATTTTAACTGTTGCTGGTGGTGAATATTTATATATATTGTATTAAATGGCCATTTCACAATATAAGCGAAATGATTCAGTTAGGCGACACCTTGAACATTGATATTAATTTCAATTCGCCTAAGTAATATTCATGGAAGACCAGTTTTTTCGGTTGGTATTTTTCTTGGCAAGTCGAAACCTAAAAGTTTTGAGGAATATTTAACATTTTTTTGCTGTGGAGTTCCCGATTAAAAATAACATTGCTCTAGTTAAAAATTAAGGCAATTAAAACGGAGATTAGGGTTATAGTTTGCGATGCTTGTCATCCAAGTGGAGGTACTTTTTTTGACAGACCACGCAGGAGCCGTGCCAAGCTGTCACATTATTTTTGTTCAGTATTGTTTGGCATTTGGTCACAGAAAGACTTACGCCTTAACACCGTTTACACATTGTTCAACTTTATTACGAAAATTCACGTTCTGTAAAGAATGAGTTTCGAGCGTTTCGCTCAACTTATGGTCAACATCATCGGCCTACTGAGCATATTCGCAACACCATCACCATTCATCGTTCACAGCAACTCGGACTGACGTATGGGACGACTTGGCGGAGTTTATGTCGAGATCTTAAATTTAAAGCGTACAAAATACAGTTTGTGCTATAACTAAAGCCGCTGGACCGACATCGCTTCGCTCTATGGGCTCTTGAAAAGTTCCAAGAAGATCCGACATTTTCGAGCCAAATTTTGTTCAGCGATGAGGCTCATTTCTGGCTCAATGAGTATGTAAACAAGCAAAACTGCCGCATTTGTGACGAAGAGCACCCTGAAGAGATTCATGAGCTGCCATTTCATCCAGTGATTTATGGGCCGGTGGAATCATCTCTATATTTCTTTAAAAATGATGCTGGTAAAGACGTAACCGTCAATGGCGACCGTTATCGCGCCATCATAACCTATTTGATGCTTAAAATTGAAGCTCGAAATCTGGGCGATATTTAGTTTCAATAAGACGACGCCACTTCCCCCACATCACATCAATAAATGAATTTATTGAGAGAACACTTCGGTGAGCAAGTAATTTCACACTTTGAGCCGGTCGATTGGCCACCAAGATCGTGTTACCGTTAGACGTTTTCCTGTGGGGATATGTAAAGTCTAAAGTCTATGCAGACGATCCCGCTTCGATTAAGGCCTTGGAGCAAAACATCACGCGTATCAGGCGCCAGTTATCAGTCTAAACGATTCATCGAAAATCAACGGTTGGACCATCTGAGGCGTAGCTACGGCCAACATTTGAAAGAGATAATCTTAAAAAAATATGTGCCAAAGAATGTTTTTTCGACTGATGATAAACATTCTCCATTAAATTTAAATTGTCCAAGTTTTTCTCCTTAAAAAAGTAGGGAACCTCGAAATGGATCACCATTTATTGGTGGAACTCCGTCTCATACCTCCCGGCATTGTTGCACCAAATTTACATAAGTAGGCTAAAAAATAAAAAGCATTTTACCATACAGTACTGCCTCTAAAGATCTAATTACTGATGTCGATTTTTCAAATAGAAAGTGCCCTGAACACCATAATTCACTTTTTGTATTAGAAAAAAACATTCTAGATAATTTACAAATTTCTATGGTCAGGCCATTCCATTGCATGCATATTATAGAATTAGGCGTAACACGCTAATTTTTATGTAAATTGATGAAAAATAAGGTTTCTTTTAAACTTTCACCATAACTCTGAAATGTGAGGCACATGAAGATATTTATTACACAATCCTTCTACTACACTGCTCCTATCAGCTACTTTGTTGCCTTAAGCAACGAGATTCAAACTTAGACGCTGACCAATTCATGCTCAATGACTTTTCATGGACCTTTAACGTTCACAGTTTTCTGCACTTAAGGGAAACCGTAAAATATATATGTAGGTGATCCTACTTCTGGATCTTGGTACTCTTTTGAACATTACCTGAAGTACCTCAAGAAAATAATAAAAAGTCATCCGAAAATTCTGATACCCATTATAATGGTAATAAATGTTTTTTCAAGGGATCTGTTCTCAGTAGTTCTTAACGTGATAATTTTTGTTATATGAAATTCATTTTACCTGCAGTATTTCATGAAATAACAAAGGATTTACTTATAAGTAGAAAATACGTCAAAACACACAGTTTTTACCAGGAGCAATTTGATTCTAGATAGGGATATATATACATATTATAGCTTTAGAAAATTCTGGAACTGATATTGCAACATTTTCTTTGTCAGATTTAGAATGTTAGGCTTTCGCAATTCCATTTGAAGGCAAATATGTTATTATAATAATACTCCATCTATATCACAGACACATGTTTTTACCTTTTAATAAATATTAAAAAATATGTTTAAAAATACGAAAAATAATTAAATAAATAGAGTACATTAAATATAAATTAATAAGCATTAATAATTTAATTCTTCTAAAATAATATTGTAATTAATACTAAAATACAATTGATTAATAAACAAATAAAATAAATAAATAAGTAAAAGAATAATAATACGGACAAACCAGAAAGTTCTGTTACTACCAATTTAGAGACACTGATATGGAAGGCTCGAGCTCTAAAAAAATATTTAGGATGTGATACAAGCAATTGGAGAGAGATAATGCATGCAATTCATGCACAAATATGGAGAGCTTAAAGACTTTCTTTGAAGGTAGCGTAGAAGCTATTGACATGTATTCTACCCTTTATATATACATCTATATACTTGTATATGCACGAATTTTTTATTTATAGAACTGATGGAAAGAAAACTGACTGAAGTTTCAGCACAGTACCAAGTACTATTAAAGGAAGTGGCTTAACAGTAGGTGATGATTCAACAGCTCCTAAGAAAGCGCGCCAACGACTCTTCCAAGTCATCATTAATATATAAATTCCCTATTAAATCCAAACAAGAGATGCTTCAAATTAATGGTGAAATTAAAGCAGTCGTTCAAATACTATTTATATATAATATATTATCTAACTATTTACTTAATATTTTACTTACTTTTTTGCAGGTCAAATGTATGGCTTAAAATTCTGGGGTAGTTAAGAGTCTTTAAAATATAATTATGGATGAATTGGCCATGGAATACAATATAGGTGGAGTGTTGGGCAAAGATTCGCTCAAAGGACGTTGTTATTCTTTCGACGCCTTTAGTGGTAGAAACATATCGTCCCCTTTTTGCGAAAGTATCGTATATGCCATTTTTTACGAAATTGAGTTTCTGATGCAAAGTTCTAAAATATTCACTCATCATCTGGTAAAATATTATAATTATACTCCTTGTAGTTAGAAAGATATGACGATGTGCTGAGTATTATCAAACTGTATATTTTTGCATGGTCTCTTCATATTTATATGAGAATGATACCAAAAATGGATATTGTTTTTTTATGGGGCGCGCAAGTTATGTGTACACTATCACCCCAACCAGACACCACACAACAAAATATTGTAAATTGGTCAAAATAAAAGATTAAAGAAAAACAAGTAAACATTACTAGAATAAAAGAAACAAATAGAGATAAAGAACAAAAGAAAATAATGCAAATGCATACAAACATGTTTTGGTCCTTATGTTTCACTGTAAGGAAAACCCAGACATTATCGGGTAAACCACACAATCATGTTTGTTTGCATCCAATAAAAAATAAGATTATATTTAACAAATATTGTATTTCCTCCAATAATAAGAAAATAGAAAAACTAAGAAATAGATTAAGAAAATTGTAATAGTAGTTATATAAGCAGAAAATAATTTGAAAAAACGAAGAGAATTAAATATAATGTCACATAAATAACATCGTCGGCATTATTATTTTCTCCTCCGCTCCAAGAACCAAAACTGGCGCAGTCGGTAAAAACAAACTGCAAAGTTAAGCGATACTAAAAACTTCGGTTTTTAGTAGTTTCGTAAGCTCTAGCAACGGGAAGCAAATCCTAAGATTAGTGCCCATTTTAAATATAAGTCGGTCGGCACAGATAGCCAAGTTTAAGAAACTTAAGTTTCTACACTAGTTACCTTGAACTTCAGAGAGTGAATCCGACGATTACAATTTGTGAAGGC